CCCTTATGGCGGGGTGGGAGGATAATCTCTCCGTGCTGGGTTTCCATCCTCCCGCCCCCAGCATTGCTCCACTGAGGCTGTCAAGAGCAGGAATCAGACGCAGGCTGGCGTGGTTGTGTCAGTTCATTAGCTGACGGCAGATAACAAGTTTGGAGGAGATCTAAGCACAGTTAACAGATACCAGCCAATTGAGTCTGGTTCCCTCTGGATGATACCGCGCATTAAAAGTAACCCGGCCAGGGGTTTAAGTGAGCGTTTTGTTCTTGTTTTCTAACACATGTCAACAGGTTTTCTGAGATAACTTGCATTTCTGTGGAGTATATCCTTGAGAAAAAGCAGGTGGGTGCCTGGCTGCTGTCAGTGTCCTGAGGGAGCAGATTTCTTACCCTCCCTTGCCCTTCCAAAAATATCAGCCAGGAAGTTTAACTACATGTTAGTAAGGGGCTGATGGTGCCAGCCACTTTGCTGTTGTTTTCAAGGTCAGCTCCAATTGACCTTGCTGTTGCTTAGCTGCTCACATAGTTTCCTTTAGATTCCCTGACTGTGCTCTGGCTGGGATTTCCACATGTTCCCACGTTGTCTTTTGGTTAAACTGATTCCCACTGACTTCCTCCCTTTCTGCTTGTACCTTTCGCTCCTCTCCCCCTCTCTCCTGCCTGCTGTCTGTCTTCATGACTCACTCACTCTCCCTTGCCTTGTTTATTATTTCCCCATCCTGAAATACAGCCCAGACCCCTGACCTGCAGCTCTACAGCCCAGATGCCCGCAGTTTTCTCAGCTAGCTTTCGGGAGCAGCTGTTTTACACAGGAGCAGAGTACTCCTGCATGGTGGGAGGCAGCTGCTGCGTTGCAGCTTGAGAAGCTCAACAGGAGCTGCTGCCTCTCCTGGAAGCAGCCTGTGGGCTGAATTTCAGCTGTGCAGGGGAGCTGCAGGCCTTCCTATGGCCAGGTTCGTGCCTGGCACGCATTAAGTAGATGGCATGTCTCTAGGTAAGCTATAGGGAGCCTGTGGTGTGCATAGAGGCAAGGTATAACTTGATGGTGTAGAGCCATCAGCTCTCCTACCTGTGGCTCTGGTGTGACAAAATACCACTTAGCAGACTTGTCTTGCTTCTGCAGGAGGTGTTGGCTCCAGGCTTTGTTGAAGTCACAGCCTCGTCTGCCTGCTAGGGTAGGATCTGTATGTACACTGGGTAGATGCTGTGCTGCGTGAGAGTGCATGCTGTGAGAGCTCAAAGAGCCGGATTTGGCCTGACATGCCAAGCCCTCAGGATGTCCGTGGGGAGTGTCAAGCAGTAGGAAAACGAGGTCCTAACCCACTCAGCCTGGGCCTGTATGAAAACACCTACTGCTGAAAGTTAAATAGCAGCCAGTGCACGTGATGCAGGAGCAGACCATGAGGTTTTCCAGTAAGGAAAGGAATCTGCTGGCAGTTTACACTACTGTCATTGCAGGGAAGATTTCCTCTGTGGCAGCACTAATGACAATTGATAAATCAATACAACAAAGCCACCAATGACTTCATTTTTTTAAAAAAAGAAAGTCTATTTTAATTACATTACCCAGCCTATTAGAAAAATGTATGTGATAAGAGGAGGACAATCTGTGCCATCATTTTGACAGACCCAGAGTCCAAGTCCCTGGCAGGTTTACCATCTCCCATGCCAGGGCGGAGTCAGGTATTACTCTCTGCTGCAGCAGTGTTATCCTAACCTCCTAAACCACCGCGTGCTTTGCTGGAGGGAGATCTCCCTGTGACATCGGTTGCTTAGGTTTTCTATCCTTCATCCCCAAGCCAACGGCACACAGCCCAGTTTCCACAGCAAGCAGAGGCAGCGCCAGCCTCAGTGCAGTGTCCTAAACTCTCTGGGTAAAAGAGTTTTGCCAGCTCTCAGTATCTCCTGGGCAATATCTTCCGCTACCAAACTCACAGTGGAAAAAATGATGGGGCGCTATAAATATTGTTGTTTAAAAGTGTCCACGAGGCAAGTGGTCGTGGCCTTGCAACAGGTATGATAAATTGTTTATTGTAAACAGTTCACTGAAGGGCACAATTTGGGAAGCTGGGTTGTGGAGGAAACCTGCACGCCTTCCAGGCACATCATGGGGTACTCTTGCCCTTCCCAGCCCTGCAACACCCTATGCCACATGCCTCCATGTCCATCTTCCACAGTGCAAGGCAGAGCAGACACATTTGCACAGCATTTTACTTGCTGTTGCTTTGCAAGGAGCCCATGTTCTTTTGGAGAGTGCAAATCTCGCAGAGGAGGAAGCAGCCATGCAACCTGGCAGTGTGGGGGGAAACACTTTCAAGAACATGCAAGTCCTGCTGGACCCTGTCCCAAAGATGCTGGCTTGTGAAAAGAGCCTCGTCCAGCCTGTACAGTGGGGCCAGGTTCCCTCCCGTGGCTGAGAGCTGCCACAGCAGGAACAGGCAGCTCTCTCGGATGCTGTGCAAAGCATGCAGCCAGCAGGCATCTCGTCCTAAAACCACTTCTCCTGAGAATGGTATCAAAATTATGTCCCACCTCTTGCTGGTTAATGCCAAGGTCCTCCAAGAGAGCATGCCTAATTGCTGTACACAGTAGTAGGATCGTCATTTGGAGCCCTTCTCACAGTACACAGATCTCTGGGATGCTACTCTGAACCAGGACTGGACCTACACTTTAGTGTGCTGTCATTAAAGTGAGGGGATTTTTCTTACTTGTATTACGTAAGGCAGAAAACACAAGTTCCTGAGCAGAGGGCAACACAGCACCTTTCTAGCTAGCCTGTAATATAAAAATCCCAGAAAGTCATCCCAGCCAAGTAACAGTGGATGGCTCTGTACTGGTACTCACAGCTACTGCGATAGGATATGAGTAGGCCAAGTGGATGAATATATGAGGTAAGTGGCTAGTTCATAATTCATGGATACTATATGTTACCTGTGTTTTGGAATAATTGCTGCATAAACAGTCGGTGCTGCTATAGTGCTCACTGGTGCATGCATTTGCTGATGTGCAGGCGCCAGGCACTCCAGGACCCGGCGGGAAGTCAGCACAATGCCTCAAGATACGTTATCAACTGTAAATGTGGCAGGAAGTCATTAAAGATTTCCTGAGCTGTTCCCTGGGAAAAGACTATCTCCAAGCTCCAGCAAAATCAGGGGACTTGTACTGCCAGGGCTGAGAAATCAAAAGAAAAATTGCTCTAATAAGCCAATGTCAGCAGCTTCAGCAGGGAGCCCTCTGCTCCAGACAGAGCCTGTGCCCACGGGGTTGGGGTGGTGATGGATGATGAGATTTTTGGGAACTTGTGCCAAGGGACTCTCTGTAGCTGGCTTTCTCCAGCCAGGCTCATCTGAGCTGCTCTAAAACTCTGGGGGCTAGGAGAGGTACAGACATAGACAGGTCTGAATCCTTTGTCTCTAAAGCTTTGTAAATGCCTATGGGTGAAAATATGGCATCTTATTTTATGAAAGCTGTTTGGTTGCTCCATGAGCTCACAGTCACAGCTCCGGGAGAGAGATTTGCAGACACTGAGCTCTTTGGACCAGCTAAGCAAAGACAATTCCTGCCATCAGGAGGCAATCGGAGCCTGGGACAAGAGCATGGGCAGTGAGGGAGGCCAAACCAGGCAGGTCAGCACAAGGAGCCAGAGTATTTGTAGGGACTTATTCAAAAAGGCTTGAAGGGGGTTTGGGCATGATTTAATGATGATACCAGGAATTCATGTAACTCATCGCACTTGATATATGGGATAACTCTCATGTTTCTTGCTGCAGATAGGACTGTCTTGAAGAACATTTCTGTTTTACAAGCAATATGTTTGTGGTTTGGTTTTGGGGTTCTTTTTCCCCCCTAAATCTCACCAACCAGCCTCTGGTCAAGACTCAAAGGCTGTCTCAGCAGATAAAAGGTCTTGGGGAATTACTCTGGAAATCTCATTTCTGGACTGTGCCTAAAGGCACAGTTTTATATTTTTTTTTTTTTTGAAGTAACTACTAACTAGGTAAAAACAAAGTCATCATGCTATGGTCAAGGGCAAAGAAACAGATAGATATATTTCACAGTGTTCATTTTCTCACTGGCAAAGATGAGCAGAGTAAGAGACCTTTCTTCTTAAAACAAAACTAAACAAAATAACAAGAACAGGAGAAAAATAAACATGTGCATTGGGCAGCCAAACTTCCAGTCTGAGTACCTGCAGAAGTCCTACAAATGAACTTGTAAAAATCAGGTAGTCTGCTATGTCTAGCAACATATACACACCTGGATCGAAGTTTGATTTTGAGTTCTGAGTGCAGCAGGGACAGAAATGAGTACTTTGAAGCTGCCACTGAACTTGATCAAGATGTGTATGGGGATTTCTCCACTGTTTATTTTCTACATGCTATTTCAATTTAGGACATTTGTTCCTTAAATGCGGAGCCTTGCTTACAAGCCTGCCAAAGGTGATACAACTTTTTGTTCTGTTGGATCATTTGGTGGTTATTCTGTAACAAGCTTGTGTTATTTCTAACACACACGATACCAGTAATAAGCTGTCTGTCTGTTGAAAATTAACATTTACAGTCAGAATAATTTTTCTTGCCCCACAGTGAAGAGTTACAGAATTGTTAGCCCCTAAGCTAATGTAGGCTGGTCTGTATTAGAATGAGAGAGAGTGCCATAAAATATACTTTGTCCTACCTGTTTGGCTGTACTAGAAATCAGTAGTCCTTTTTCCTCACGTTGTTGATTATGGTATACATTTAAATGGCCAAAAGAGTTTTTCTTATCTCAAACTCACAGTACATATCTCACATACATGTCTCTGATTGTCCTTCCACAGGAGAGAAAGAAAATAGAGCTGAAAAACTAAGGCATATTTGTCTAGCAAGAGTTCAAGAGGGAAAGTGTGCCTGCCTGGGCTGCAAGGAGCGTACCCTACACACACAGAGAAACATTCCTTGGGACTGGTGACACCATTGTTCGGCCTCACTCTTGCTGAGAAGGTTTCCACACAACGCTTCAACAATGAATTTCCTTCGGAGACGTCTCTCAGACAGTAGTTTCGTGGCAAATTTGCCCAATGGCTACATGATGGACTTGCAGCGCCCTGACAATTCCACGAGCTCCCCAGTTTCTCCTGCCATGGAGAGAAAGCATCCACAGCCACCACAGCCCTCGCACTCTTCCTCTACTGGGACCAGCATCTTCAGCTCCATCTCCAGCGCCATGAAGCAAACCACACAAGCAGCTGCAGGACTAATTGACCACTCCACCAGCCCCACACCTCCTGTGGCCCAGAAGCCCAAGATCCTCCTGGTGATCGATGATGCACACACAGAATGGTAAGTCATCCTGGTCCTCCCTGCTGAATTCAGTTCCGCAAGGTTTGGGGGATGAAAGGGATCTGGGAGGCATGAGGCATCTGCAGGGGGGGAATACAGATAGTTCTTCAGAGGTCGCCACCTCTGGCCCCAGGTCAGTGTCTGTTCAGTGGTTTGAGTAAGTGTAGGCTTTTCTCAGATCTTGCCTGAAAAAATGTTCATTTGGCACCATTGTCAAATTTCTTGATAGCCTCAATTTATGAGTACGAATAGGACATTCTTGGCTCAGCAGACTCAGCTGTGCTGTCACATCTAGCAGTAGTCCTAAGAGGTCACAGCTCAAGGTGTGTTAGTGGTGATGTGGTTCAGGCCCTTAGCCTACGGTTTGTGCCAGCTCCAGAAGTGAAAATGGATTCCTCTCCAGCTTTCCCCTCTGTGCAAATTTGTACATAAATTAACAAAAGATAACCCAAGCTAACTACTATCAATAGTGATGACTGCAGTTCATTAGCTGGTCTAGAGTCCATTCACCTGCTAAACATAGTGGCTATTGGTAAAAGGCTCAGATAAGCCTCAAATTTGCATGTTCATGCAGGTCTCCTTTTACAAACAGAAGTTTGGAAGTTTGTTTCCTGTGATACTAGACAGCAAAGGACACTTTCCAAAGGGTAGGGCAACTGAAGTCTTCTGAGAGAAATGACTTAGTGTTTGCAGTGTGCCCCCTGTCAAAGTTGGCTGGTTTAGAAAGATTTAGGCAAGGTGACTGAGAAACCTAATTTGGGGAAAGCCCTGAGCATGTGTTGAGGAGATGCTCATTCTTTCATCTGCCAGCTTGTCACAACACAGAAAAAAGGAAAGGGTAGCAAAAGGCTTCAAAATGTAAGAAGTTTGTTACCAGGTCTTGGCCAAGAGTGTTTATCTTATTGTTCATTTCCTCCCATGCCACTCTGTGGTAAACTTGTCATGTTTGGTCTTCTCTGCTTTCCCAGGAGAGTGGGGACAAGGTGAGACCTGTTTTCCCAGGTGTATCTTCACAAAGCAAGAGCTTAGCTGCTAGCTAAAAAGGGGCAATACGGAGTACAACTGGGTCAGGCTTCTTCAGCCAACTTGAGATAAGAGAGAAAACAGTGGGATTTTTTTCAAAGGAAAATCAACTTTTTAACAGTGTGGGAAAGTCCCTGATAAGGTGGTCATCATATCAAATGTTTCATCTGCCTGGTGTCTTTTATCACAGCAGCAGCCTCTTAATGCCAGATAAATCAGTTGGCAACACCAGTCTGGCTCAGCCCTGCTCTCTCTCATTCCTGGGTGCACCTGCAAGTCTCCGGGAAGGCCGGATGCTCACCGACCTCCGTCTGCTCAGCCTTTTGCAGTTCCTTGAAGATGCTGCCAGGTGGCAGTCCCTTAACGTAGCATCCTCCAGCTGGGGCGGGGAGTGCCTCTAACGCACAGCTCTAGCACCTGGGGCTGGGCCGGCACTGCTTAGTCCACACACTGTAATCAGAGAGGAAAACCCTAGCTCAAAGGCCAGTCTAGTCTTCCCTTGAGACTAATGGTGCTGAAGGTAGTCTAGGCAGGGGGAAGTACGAGGAGGGGTTGGACTCTTGCAGTGTTTTCATGTTTTAAAATACACACTGCGTTCAAATCCCTGACGTTATACCTCCCAGCTGCTGTTCTTGTCTTGCAGACTTTGTGGTCTGTGAGCTGCACTTACCCAAGGAGCAGCAGCTGGGAGGTATAAAGAGGAGGCATGGCTACTCACGCTGTCTTCACTCCTCCGCTCGTGTGTGAGCACTCCACGCATCCTGCTATCCCTCTGCTGCCTGTAACTTAGCACTTTCTACACATGATGGGAGACCCCTTACATCCTTCCCATCTCCCTGTCTCTGTCCAAAGGCTCACAGATAACCAATAATGCTGCCTGCAAAGGCTCCCCGCCTTCACTCTCTCTAAGGCTGTGAGGGCACTGAACCAAATTAGTGTATACATTCATGACTGTATCCTGACATGTGTATGATGTGAAAACCAAGGAAATAACATTACTAACGCTTACCTGCCACTGTTCTCCATGGATCTTTGTAGCATGGACAGAAACACATGCCTAGAAACTTTCCTAGCCTAGCTACTGCATGAGGTCCCTTCTGAGAGAGCATACCAGTATAACCACTCCAGTAGGCCAGGAGTGCTACTTGGCAGTTGGTTTTCATGTCTCCGGGAAACTCAGTGAGCCCTTGAGAGCAGCACTGGAGAGCAGTGGCTCCATGGGTGTTTATACTTGGGAAGGTAGTTCTGAGCAATGCCAGTCATCTTCTTGGTCTCATCCAGAGTGTTATGTGAGCTCAAGCTGACCAGCCCAAGGCATCAGTGTTTGCATTGTGAGAGCACAGCTGAAGAAGCTGATCATCTAGGGGTTCTGGCTGTCCTCTCTTCATCATGTACAGAAACAGTCTCAGACTTTGGATGGGAAGCAACAACCTATTGTTACTTCGGTGCTGGTGATTTGGGGTTTGGAAGAAACGTCATGGTTGCAATGTGTTTCATCTCTGCATGCATCTCTGGTTCTTGCTACTTGTGAAACCTTTGTATTTGGTTTTCAATAAACCCTTTCCTTCTCTTTTTCAAATAGTTCAGTCTAGTAGAAAAGATCCCCAAGAAATAACTACTGAAGCGCTACCTTTATTTTAAGGACGAGGGGCTTCCACAATGCCACTTTACCCAGTGCATGTTACCTGGGGTTTACAACAAGGACTAGCTTGTTCATAGGCAGGAAGGGAGAGAGACAGTGGAATCTGCCATTTGGTTTCTCTTTAAATGAAAATACTTTCTCATAATTGGAGACTGTAGCAACACTGCCAAGCCAGACATGAATTTATCATCACTCTTTGTATTACAACAGAGGCAAAGAGCTGCAAATGTGGATTAGGATGAGGTGTTGCACAAGTGCATGATGAAATGCTCTAACAACCCAAATAGGCAAGTGCATGTTGAATGCACTTTAAAGTGACAAATAGCAATCCTTTCTATTTTTAAGGAGTTGCTATGTCTCTGATGGTACAATACAGCACTCAATTTCCCTCAGAGGTCTGGAGGAAGTGAAGAGGATCCATGGGAATCCATAGCCTGTCTTACTCCATAAAATCCTTACCACTCTTGACATGCAATATGCTCTGGTTTATTCTAAAGGCAAAGTACTATAAAAATAATGTGAACCCTGCAGAATATGATCAGCTGCTTTTTGCATTAGCAGCAGTAAAAGAAAGGTATGTTCTATTAAAAGCAAGGGAACTCACACAGCTTTCTGTTAAACCACCAGCTTTTTGACAAATTTTCCATCCTTCTCCAAGACCCTGCTCTAGCACATTGCAAGGAAGCACACAGTGAATCCGCCACATGCAGGATGTGCTTGAGAGGAAAACACTCTCGGTACAGCTCCCTCATGCCCTTGGCTTTGACAGGCAGCCCTCAGAGGCAGCCACAGCACTGAAGTATCCATGCATCGGCATGCTAGGGAAAACCTCAGATTCTCTTCAGTCATTAATGGTATGTATCTCAGCCAGGTAGCCTCCACCTGGGAAATGAGGCACCTTCTTGTGGGCTGGGAATATCTGTGCCCCACGAGACTTCCAAAAATGCATCCACAACTCACCCACAGCAGTTGCCAGAAAAAAGGAGCTCAGACACGAATACATGCGCACACATGCAATCGCTCAGCAAAAGGGAGCGGGACCATGTGGGAAGGGGGATGGCAGGACTCCATGTAATGGGCAGATTGGCCAGCTCCAGCAGCCCGACCTCAGCCAGGAGGAAAATGTCCCAACTCTGGCCACTTCCTCGCCCGACACGCTATTAAGTAGAATCATGCCCTTGCTGGATTGAATTTCTCAGCAGATCAAATAGGATTTAGTCCTGTGAATCGCTAACCCCCATCCTCTGTGAAAGTGCTCAGCTTTCTAGCCTAATGCTTCGTGTTTAAACAGCTTATTTGGGAAGTATCAAGCACAGCTAAGGCTCCTATTAACAATTAAGCTAAAAACATTGCTTTTTGGACCAGACAGCATAACGGTTCTTGTTGCATTTGTTAGATATCTTGGTTGCATTTGTGAAATATCTCATGTCACTTGTCAAAGCCATTGGTGTGTTTTGTCCAAATTCCAGGCTGTTTCACATGCAAACATTGTTACATGCTGCCTTGCACAAAATACACGTGCGCTACGTGTGGCAGTTCTACACATGTGAATTGTGCCATGATTCGCAGAAAAAACAGTCACAGAGGATATTTTAGGAGGCACAGAATTGCATTTGTTGTCTTTCCATTTACTTTACAGCCAAATCTGCCTGAACATACTGTCTCCAAAAATTGCAAGATGAAGGAAGAAAACTGTGATTAATACTGAACAAAATCCTCTTAATACAACTGAAATGGTTCTTTGTATAATAATAATGTCATGATTCAGGTCTAATTATGAACTGTTCTGACAGGATTACTGTTTTATACTGTTCAGAAGAAGTTATCAACACTTTTTTATAAAAAACTGTTTTCACTTCTGACAGTACATGACAAATCAAGCCTTAAATATGCAGTTTGTCCAAAAATATAATTGGTCAAATAATAACAGTCTAATACTGAATTTTTGTACTATGGAACTTCCTAAATCCTAATTTTTTTGCAAGGAATCCCTTTTAAAAAATATTCAATGAGTGTCATGAGTCATTTCATGCTTTCAGTAGGTTGAAGATGATATAGCAAGGCTTCCATTCAGAGAAATATTTCAGTACCTAACTCAATTAAACATAATGAGAGGTTTTGGACTAGCTTTTGGCTTTGAGCTTCATTATTATTATTATTCAGCACTGATAATTCAAGCTTGACCTCAAGAATTTACAGGTTAAATTGCAAAGTTTTGTCTATATTTCCTGATAAGAAGCTCAGAATCATCTAACATGGTGGTAACCGACAATAAATGATCATGAACTGGCTTTTAACATACAGGGGTGACCTTTTAAGGTTTCACAAGTTCTGT